ATCGATGACGAAAATTAAATTGAACCGATGTATTTTCATATAAATTACTTATACTTATGTTTCAAAATGTACTAATTATTTTTGTATTTTATGAATATTAAAATAAAAAATACTTAAATCAAACCTTTATATTAAATATGTTCATGGTATAAATTATTATTATATATGTAATTTATTCAACAATTTTAGTAAATCACTGTCCTTTCAAAACATCGCTTCGGTAAAATACGTCGGACAAAATTAATATATGTCAGTCTTTTTTCTAAACTATTTATTTTGAAAGTGGCTTAAGTCACTTTACCGTAATGAAAAGTGGTGATTTTTTAATGTTTATACGAAATTATTTATACTGAGAAAAATATCAGTATCCTGAGACAATAAATACAAGTAAATCTGCATATTTTTAAACGTGTTAAAACGCAAATCCATAAATATATCGACTTAAAAACAAAGTGACTTATGCCACTTTCAAAATAAAGGGCTCAAATGTATCTTTGCGATATGAATAATCGTAAATTACAAAATTAGTGACCCATCATTTTCACGAGATCCGTAAATCTAGTGTTAACATTTACAACAAATTGAAGTCATTCAGTCCAGTTATTAAATAATAATCGCGGGGCAGTATAGTATTATATCGTTACGGGTCGCACGAGTCTTCGATTATTCGAACGAACGTCAAAACGCGGAGATTCCCGTGAAACACGAAGAAGAAGAAGAACCCCGAATGAGTCCGCGAGATTCTGATAACCATATCGGTCGGCATTAATCACCGCCTCCCCGGTATCCTCCGTTGTTCCCGACGTGTTTGACACGCTTGACTCGCTCCGGCGACACGAATTACAACGCGAATTAGTTGTAAGCCCGGGGAGAACGATCCACGAGGCGTTGAACGGCGTCGATTGTAATTTATCAAATCGCCGTTGGCGCCCACACTTCAATCAATACGAATCCTCTGGCCGTGGTCCCTGAACTCTCTTGTTGGCCGTCTTGCCATCGCTCCTTCTCGTCGCCAGCCACCACGAAAATTTTGCTTTATATTTAGCACTGGCTCTCTCGGCTCTCTCTTCTTCACGCTGCCTTTACTCTCCGTAGATGGTCTCATACTCTCGACTGGCTTTATTTAACAGTATTCCTTTATTTTCATAGCCTTTCGCTGTTTATATTGGCTATTTTATTTTTATTTTGCATGTAATCTTAATCCTCGGGCAGTCCGAGACTTTTTATTGTGCGTTAAGGTCTATTTCTTGGATTTTTGGTCGATGTGCAGTTTCTTAGGGGATTTTTCTAGTAATTTTAGAGTTTTCTGTACGTTTAATCCTTAATTGATGGATCCTTAATAATCCTTAATTGAATCCTAATAATCCTTAATTAAATCCTTAATTTAATTCATGTTATTTCTATATTTATTTGTATTATTCTGTTTTCCATATTATTTTTGTTCGTGTGTCAAAAAATTGGTGCAAGTTAACAGGTGGTATGACGAAACGTAACTCCATTTCACTGTCAAATATTTTGTGGGTCGAAATTCCTTGGTTTACTATTTGAATAAAATAACTGCATTTTCGCAAATACAATTAAATACAAGTTATAATTAATAAAGCAGATACAAATGAAATCTAGCACTGTACGCGATTAGGTAAACACTTATTAATAAACTTTGTATAAAACTGCCCCCAAAATATCCACTGGTAAAGACCAATTAAAAATACTTGGAAAAAATATTGGAAATACTTAATGAAATACTCTTGTTCGAGTAAAATAATATTTCAAGATTTATTCGGCGTCGTAGAGATAGGTACATGTATCGAAAATAGTTCTTTATGTGATGGTAAAGAAAATTATTAATTGGAATAGTATATTTTTAAACTCGGCTCGAAATAATTATTTGAAATAATATTTCATCTGTCTAAATTTCTATTAATTATTTGTTACTTCATTTAGAAACGTATGAACACATTGTTCTGAAAAATATTAATGTAACTGGAACATCTAACATCCGTTTGCTTCCAACAATGCACATGTCTCAAATGCAAGTATAAACGCAGTAATATCCAAACGTTTCGTTTCGCGTGAAATAAAGAAACTATTGATTTGAACGAAGCATTTCGGAGTCTTGTCGTAAAATCTATATCCTAAATATTTATTAAATATTTGTAACATCAATTAAGTATTAGGTCTACCGGAAAGTTCTGTCCGTTTTTTAATTGAAATATAACTCAATTTTCATGCATTTAATAATATTTTTATTGTAGAATATACTTTCCATCGTTACTTATGACTTCTTACCAGCGTGATGGCAACTTGTAAATGCCATTTTTAAAAAATGATTTATTTTTAGAGGCGAAGAACTCAACCGGTGCTTGGTTGATATCAGCTTCAGTTTTGAATTGTTTTTCCTGTAAAAAGTTTTGCAAAGAGAGAAAGAAGTGATAATCGGAGGGTGCTAGGTCTGGGGAGTATGGTGGATGCGACAGAATTTGCCAGCCTAGCTCTGCGATTTTCCGACGAGTCGCCAAAGCAGCATGTGGTCTGGCATTATCATCGGTAGCCATGTTTTCACGATCGCGTCTCACTTAATAATGACATGAGACATCTTTGTTTCAGTTTATTTAGGAGAGTACATGCGTGTAAATGCAATGATAAAGAGAGATAGTCGTATATGTCTTAAATCAACATGTGCATATGGATTGAAAATTGAAGTGACACTATCGGACAGAACTTTTCGGTAGACCTAACATTTAGTTGCATAGCTCTACGTTTCCGCAGAATAATCTCGTCATCGCTATTACTATTTCGCTCGCACTCTTCAAAATTGTCTAAATAGTCACCATCATGCACACCGTCTTCAGAATCAGTAATAGAATTACAATCGTTGTCGCTGGATATATCGGACAAATCGTCTGCATGATATTCCAGTATAGTCGATACACAAATTAGTGGTATTTCTTGACATTATTCAAGGGAGCTTAATTTTCTTGAAATTGAAATTATTATGAAAATAGCAGACAGTGTTCTGCAAGCTCAAGATGTATGTATACACACTAAATCCTGCAACATGCGAGTTTGATCTAATATTTTGTAATACTTAGCAATTGTTGTCAGGACAGACAATTTTCAGAGAAAAGTGTACTACAAATCTAACACTAATCTAGCAAATTATTAATAATATTAACCAATATTTTAACGAGTATCTCATACGTATTACAAACGAATGACTATATCGAACGAAGCATACGTAGTAACACAGTCGTGAGAGAGAAGTAGTATTCGAAAATATTTGTATTTCTCAAGTTCAAATATTCGTACACCCGTGTCGTCTGATCGCGATTCCAGCAAAACCAGTTATATTTGTCCGAGGATCTCTGCGCCAGCAAAGGGTTAAAATCGGCATGCAAATCTCCGGCGCGGCTTTCTCGCCGCTATCACCTGTTTTCTCCGGGGCCCGGCCGAGAGGTGTCTTTGACTCGGCGACGGCGTGAAATAGTTTTTAACGGTAATTGCTGGCCAATGGACGTTTGCGTAAGCCCCTTTGCACGTCCAATTCCGCTCGGCGGCGCGGCGCGGAGTTAAAGGCACACGCAGGATCACCTACACGCAAGCGTGGAGCGCGTCCGCGCGGAAAACTCTCGAGGCAAGAGGCAAGTGTATTCACCTTAAGGCTTAAAGCCTTTAGTCGAGCGCCGCTCTACGCGCCGTGAACATGTGAGGTCGCGTCGCGAGTCGCGTCGCCGTCTTTGCCTAATCGCTTATTTTTCACGTTTTTTTCGGAGCTGCCGGCTCCGATCCCGCCGGATATCGATCCTCGCACGCGAGATCTACGCCCCGATACCTCTCACGGTGATAGCGAAATCTGGAACGTCGGTTTAGTTTCGCGCACCAAGTTCCGCGCATTCCTCGAGTGATTAAGAGCTTCTGTTGTCCTTCGCCGCTTGTAAACCGTTTCAGCCGTAACACGTTTAATGTGCCTTTTTATCGTTGAACTCGTGCACAGCACACTGTTGCGCGAAAATATCGGGCCAGTTCGTGCGCGAACTTCTTGCAGAAAAGGAGAAGATAGAAGACAGGTTCTTGATTTATGGTTTCTGTTTTATTGCCGCTGCGCCGAATGCAAGTGTACAGAGAAGTGCCGCGAGACATAGAGAGATAATACCGAGGGAACCGAGTGAATTGTTTCTTTCGAGAACATTTCGATTCTTTCAGTCCCGATTTATTCGTTCCCGTTGAATCGTTCTCTCAACTCGTTAAAAGTCTCGCGACGTTTTCCATCAAGGTTTCAGCATTTGTTCGTCGAACGAGCTACGCGTAAACTGCGACTTACAAATTGAGTACGAACTTCTGTGACTTTAGTAATTGTTTCGGTAGTAATTGTTATACGGTTGTTCCTTGCGTCAAATTATTAGGCGAACTCCCTCTGAGCAGGATAATGGAGTTTTATATTCCGTTACGAGTTCGTGAATTTATGTACTTATTGTATCGTGTCTTTGTCTGGCACCGCGAGAACATAAAAAATTTCATAACATTGAAGTATTTTATTTAGTCCAACGAAAATCGATTAGTTTTTATGCATTCTTACGTTTCGCGAATCTTAATCGAATTAGAAAACTATAATATAGATCGGCGTAGAAATTAATTTTCGAAATTGAGCGATACGGCGGTCAAAGTGTTAAACCATGAATTTTTGTGGACGTTCTCCGCGTTATTTACGAAACTGGCATTACGCAGAAAGAACGACTGTTAATTAAAATGTTCAGAATCGCCGCAGGCGCGACTCATTTTGCCTTTATTAAAACCGAAACGTGATATTCTATCAACGCCGTCTACAAATTGACGGTTTTCTCGATCGCACGGTGTAATTAGACTTTCACTTCGATCATTGTTTAACCGTATTTACATATTCGTAATGGATTATTAACCGGCGTCATCGCATTTCAGAAATTCCACAGAAGAATTTCGTTAGCACGACTGAATTGAATATTGAGAATCAACTCCGAAAATTCCGCGAAGTTAACGCAATTTTCAATGAATGAAACTAGAAAATTAAAATTTATTTTATTTATTTTCCGCACTCGAAACATCCTCGTTCGAGTATCGCTACAATGAATATCAATGTTGAGAACTCGACTAAAAATTGCTGTCATCCATGCGTGGGCGAGGAAATATTACTTTCTCAGATCTCTAAATTCATCGTCACGCTAATCTATTATGACTTCCCGATTCCATCGAGAATTCGTAAACGGTAATAATGCTAAAAATAAAATAATTGACGTTGTTTTCCAATTTTAATTCGATTAAATAAGATACTTCGACTGTGTGTGTGTGTGTGTGTAACTGCTCACGTTTTGTTCGCGTGCCAGTGAACGCGTTAAGAAGCTCCGATTCAAAGTTCAAGGAAAGAAATCGAAAGTTACAAAATGTGATCATCCTCGAGCCATAGATAGGTACATTAAAGTCCCGGTTGCTGTTACAGTGGCCGTGTGTAAAATACGCAACACAGTGGACTATTTACAAACAGTGATTAGCCACCGAATGCTTTGTATCGCCGCGTCGGTCCGCGGCGAGCCGCCGCGATGCTCGTGTTATTAAAATTAATATCGGTTCGATGCTGTTGACATACCGATGCCAGGTGACTCCTCGATCGGCGTCGATCTACGTACCCACCAGGTGATCCGAAGATGCTAGGGAATTTCGGCAGCAACCAGAGCATCCTCGGTTTTCTGTCCAACAAAGGTACGTCGACCCCGCTCCCCATTAATTCACGCGCCGATTGTTACGGCAGATGAGTCCCGGCGAAGTTAAGTCATACGTCCACGCGTTCGCCAGCCGAGATAACTCCGCTTAGAAAGCAGATAGAAAGCGATCCCCGGCGTCGTTGTTCCAGGACAACGAATTCTAGCCGCGAAATCCGCTTTCGTCCCCGATAACCGACCGTTTTGTTTTCGTTTTCTACATTTTTTCTTTCGATCTCTCTCTCTCTCTCTCTCTCTCTCTCTCCAGCTCGTTTTTCGTTTTAGCCGTTCTGCCGGCGCGCATAATTTTCAACGCATCGCTGGCCGTTTAGTTCTGCTTTCATCGAGGCAAATTATCGCCGTCCGATTATCCTGCGAGGACCGGACGAATTGTTGCATTGAGTTTCCGCTCGGCGTGGACGCCGGAGTTTCGTGCCAATGCGCGCCGTGCAGCGATTTAGAACGAGAGGCTGACCGCGGAAATCTCTTAATTTCAATAATTCTGCTGTTAGGCAACTTTTCGCGGTTTCGTGCGTGTAAGTTCCCGAGGCTCGTCATTTTGACTATTATTTATCTATCACAATAATTAGTATTTATAGATATAATATATAATGTAATATAATATAATATAATATAATATAATATGACATAATATAATATAATATAATATAATATAATATAATATAATATAATATTAATCGATATAATATAATATAATATAATATAATATAATATAATATAATATAATATAATATAATATAATATAATATGACATAATATAATATAATATAATATAATATTAATCGATATAATATATAGATATATTATATATAATATAATATAATATTAATAGAATAATGTATACACTGAAGTATTGCTTTTTGCATCATACTAATTTTCAACCTTAATAATTCGGTTTCTACTTCAAATATTTGAAATTTCTAAAGAGAACAATTATAAATAAAACGATGATTTTTAGCATTGTTTCAAGGCTTAAAGACCGTTTTATATATATATGTCGTTAAATTCGTCTTGGCATCACCTGTGACGCTGTTCGGTAAAAAAATATACAGCGACAATTAAAAAATCAATCAAAATTAATCGTTTCCACGGTGCAAAGTGAAACTGGTGAAATGGCCCATGTTCGAACGCTTTTTCTAACTGCAGCGTTTAGAAAATATCATTGATTGCATCGTTCTTAACTGCGACGAACGTTTACAAAGTGACACACATCCGATAAAAGCCGCGACGAGAAAGTTAATTTTTCAGCAAATGAACAGTTAATTCCTTCGATTGACACCATTGTGCGCGTCACCGACGCGTATTCTCGCTTATTTTTCTCCTCTCGATATTCGTACGGATTAGCACACGCGTGCCGGAAAGCAAGAAGAAAGGGACAGCTTTTGCTTTTAGAATTCGCTGGCTGCTGGGTCCCCGCGCACGCTAATTGATTGTTGAATGGTCACGGTGCGCGTGTTCTTTTTTTTTCTTTTTTTTTTTTTACCGCGGCGCGTCTTGAACGTTGAGCTGCTTATATCGTGTAATGACTCAACATGCGCAATACAATGACACCGTAACTAGAAAGTGGTCGAATCGATTTAGCGTTCGTTCCGTTGATAAATTTAACGAGTTTCCTCCATTTCTGGATACGCGACCTGGGACAATTTGATAATCATTGATCTCCTCGGTCTCGGACAAATCTCTGCGGTGAGATTATTTTTACCGTCTGAGCCTTTTAAAATATTCGTTCGCATCAAGAAATCCATTGTCATTTCCGAGGAAACACTATTTCAGGCATTTTCGCTGAAAATATAAGGTGTAATGAATAATATAAATATAAATATACAATAATATATATAAAAAAATATATATAATATAATATAATATATATAATAATATAATAAATAAATAAATATAATATAATTAATAAATAAATATAATATATAATAAAATATAAATATATAATGAAGTTTATGCAAAATAAAATATATTGCTAAATAGATTGCCATATTTGTTTCAACAATTTAAAGTCACTCATAGTTATGAGTGCTTTTAATAAATATGTAGTGCTCTTTTATATTCGTTGCAAATACGATTAGACTGCGGATCTCTATGCATTCACGATATGCATAGCTCACTAAAATGCAATAAAACGTGTAATTTAACAAGGTCAAACAGCATTCTCATCTTTTCCTTCGCGACTTCTTCTTTTACAAGACGAAGGAAAATGTTCCTTAATTCTAATTTTTGTAAAATTACGTTCCTAAAATGAGAAACCGCGGATCTTTATTGATCTAATAATTACCATCGTTACCATTCGTTTCGCTTACGTTCTTCGCGAAATATTCGACGTGTTCGACTGAAACAGAATCATAAGGTCTGCGAAATCGTACCCCGTTACATTTGAGCCGTTTATTTTGAAAGTGGCATAAGTCACTTTTTTGTTTTTTAATGAAAAGATACCGTTCAATTGTAATTAGTGTTACCAATAACTCGATTTTTTTGAAAAAGTCACTTATGCCGCTTTCAAAATAAACAGCTCAATTACAAACGGCGATCCGTGAAATCTAACAGAAAATACCATTCCGCGATCGCACGTCAGAGACGTGCGACGCTGGCGAACGCATTATAAGTTAAGCTAATTTAACGCTGCACAGGATGATTCAGTGGCACTCGTTGCACGTACCCGGCCACCAAGATGGCCGACGCGGCGCGGCGCGGCGCGGCGAGGACCAGCCATAATGGGCATTATATTGTAGATTCAACGGACGTTCAGGGCGTTCGGTTCTGAACCCCCGACAAAAATTTCCTAGTTTCTTCGCGGCACGCACTCCCACGCGCTACTACGGATCAGCGAAACGTGTCGTATCGTCGAAAACGATCGACGCCACGAGCGAACGTGGTTGGGCACCGAAGCCAGCTCCTCGGCACACCATCGTGTCACGTGTCCCTGTGTCAGCCGTGGATCCTTCTGGGAATACAAATTGAACGTTTCCCAAGGCGTCCTGTGTCGGGCACCATGAAACGGTGGCCGCGCGGCTAACGGTAATCTATGGTGTATCCGCGAGTTACGACAGTTGTTGCGGTGTTATTCCACCGATTCGGACGTGGAAAGTGCACGCGGCCGTAGGCGTCCGTCACGGTTTCATTTTCATCCGCGTCGAAACTTGGAAGCCGATCCATTGAATAACTTGTTTGCTCGTAAATTCCCATTAGAGTATTCCCGCGGGGTTTGCTTTCCATGCGCGCCGCTGTGTTTCGCGGCTCTGAAGAATGAAGACGTTTCTATCCCGCGATATTGCGACCGATCCTTACGGTGGTACACCTTGCTGGAACTTCGACGAATATTTCTGTTTGATGTTATTGGAAATGGGTAGATAAATAAAAGTAAAACGCAGTGAATTAAACTTATCCCTTTTAGTTTATTAATTTGATGTACGAGGAAGGACCGTCTTTACTCTCCTGATTGCTCCAGGAGACTGAAGACTATTCACAAAGACGAAACCAAAAACGTCACCTAGTGACAAAGAGCACTCTGTTCTATATACATATGAAATCATTGTTTATCTAATGGTACTCTGGCGAGACTCTCGGCGTCGATTCGTTTTTGTAACTTATATGCTAGAAGGAAAAACTTCTGAGTATTAAAAGAGAGAAAATAATCCAATAGATGTGGTTGAAAGATCCTGGCTTTTCTGCAGGTTTTTTTTACAGATTATGATCCTATGTATTGGATTGGCAACTAAGTAACTGTCGATTTCAGTTATGGATGTCTCTCACTCACATTTTTATGATATCCGTAAATGTTATATTATAAAATTATTATTATTATTATTATTATGTTATTTTTTATTATCCGTGAATGTTAGCAACTGGACAAATTGAATGCAGCGGTCAAGGAAAAGCGACCAGAATTGGTCAATCGTAAAGGTGTGATTTTCCAGCAGGACGATGCTAGGCCGCACACGTCTTTGTCCACTCGGCAAAAATTGATGGATATTGGTTGGGAATTGATGTTACATCCACCATATAGCCCTAATCTCGCGCCATCGGATTGCCGCTTATTTCGATCGCTGGACAACTCCCTTCGTGGTAAAACTTTGAATGATGATGACGCTGTAAAATCTCACTTAACCCCTTAATGCACAATTTAAAAAAAA